TGTCTTTTTAATGCTACTTAAAATATCTCCTAAAGCCCAGCTGGCTGATTGGTTATTCTCTCTCATCGTTGATATTTCTATATTTTCCTTCCTTTCTGAAATCAATAAAAACATTAAAAGAAAATAAAATACTGCATAGAAACAAATATAAAGGACATTGAGACAACTGAGGAATTTTGAATATTAACTAGATTAAATAATAGCAATGTGTCCATGTTAATATTTCAAAATGTGGTAATTGTAGTTACGCAGAAGAACACCCTAGTTCTTAGGCAGATACATGCTGAAGTATTTAGGGTTGATTGAAGAATATGTTGTCTGCAACTAACTTGCAAATGGCTCAGCAAAAAGAAGGAAGGAAGGAAAAGAGAGGTGAACAATGATAAATCTAGCTGTTCATTAAATTACTAACTTTAGACGATTTGTAAATTTTCAAACTAAAAAACTCTGTATTCTGCCCTAACCATGCCTTTTAAAATTCTTCCCACACCTCTTCTCTATGCTTTTCACTGTGTTTTGACTGGATAGTGTTTCTATTTTGCCTTGTAGGATTGGTTTGTTGTAAACCCAGCAACAACCAAAAGCTTTGAAAAGCTGATGAAGATAAAGCAGCGACAGCAAGAAGAAGAAAAGCGGAGGCAGCAGCACAGGAGCAGGAGGTCTCTGAGAAGGCGGCAGCAGGCTGGCACGGAGCTTCCTGAGCCAGCAGAGCTGAGTCATAGAGTAGGGAAAGATCAGAGGAGGAAAAATGAGGAACTGCTAGTGTCAACCTCCTGTAAAGAACCAGAGCAGGAACCAGTGCCAGCACAGGTCCAGAAAGTAAAGCCCCCAAAGGCTAATCATAAACGAGGAAGGAAATAGGCAGGCAGTGTGAGAGCATTCCTAGGAGAGTGGATGGATGCTCTTGTCACGGGGACCTGTGCTGGGAGGACTGAGTTATGGGGCTGAGTGAAGAGAAATGTACTCTTTCAGCTGTTTGTGAAAAGCAACAACTTTCTCAACTCTTCCCTCCTGTATAAATTTCACTGTTTTCCCTACTTATTCACTTTGACAACCTCCCTCCCCCAACACTTTTTGGTAGGTTTTCCTGCTATTCCTCATTGGAGTCTTATTATTTTTCTCTTATCTTGCCCAAAGAGCTCCCTCTTAAGGCCAGCTATAGGCCCCTCTTGCCCTGTATAAGACTAAGAAAACTGGTTGTTCTTTTCTTCCTGGGGTGTAGAATGTTCTTAGAAATTCCACTGGTTTAGTAGTCTCCATCATTAACTTTATAAAACAATTCCAAATTAAATTTTTAAAACCATACTGATTAATCATTTTATATTTGTGCTATAACAAGTCTACAAGCTAGAAATGTCACTCGTATAATAAGGTTACCCTCATTGGGAAACAAACTTTATGGAGGTGGTTCTCTCAACATGGTTTTAGGATTGAAAGAAAGAAATGGGTTTAGGATGAAAAAGCTAGAACTTCCCTATACTAATTCTACTTGGAAGTGTTTTGTCTTCCTCAAGTAGCAATGACTAACTAAATCCACAGGCATAAAAAAACACTCTTGGGTGTAATATGTCCCAAACATTAAAGTGGCTGGAAAGAAGAAACTAGAAGAAGCAATAAATACTGCCTCAACTTACCTGGGGCTTGTGGCCTCCTCTGTCGTTATAATCGGTGCCCTCCTGAAATTTGTTTTGCCCTCTCAATTCTAAGGATTGAGAAATAACCAGGTTGATTGCCCTGATTTTTTTTTTTAATACAGAATCCTAGTGTTCCTGGTAATGCTACTAAGATTGGTAGCCAAGGCACTCGTTCCTTCTCTCCTGGACTTGACCTCACTTTGTCTACATCCCACTAAGTCCTCATCCCTCCCTTTAATCAACCTCTGACTGAATTTTCTGAGAATATTGCTATCTATCCTCTTTTACGTGTGTTTTATCGTCTTTAATCCTGAGACTTTGACACCAGATATCGATATTTATCTGGAGTTGGAAAGAAAAATTCTTTTTCTGTACCTCATGTCTACCTGATGTCTAATGGGCTGATAGATGTTTTGAAATAAGTGAAGGACATGGTATATCCACTGTACATTGTCATTTGCAGTTGTGCTCTTAGAGCCCTTTCGGTAGATGAGGATTGTCAGGGAGAAGAAATGAAGCTATATTAATTTCTGGTGCGTAAGACTTGGGAAATGTTTGGCAATGACAAAAGAAATAAATGACTGTGTTAGATTGATGTTTCCAGTTGTTCATTGACTACGACCTGCTATATGACTTCTTTCTGATACAGTATATGGGATAAGAAGATAGAGAGGGGAATGAGTTTGAAATAATTACCAAATGCAGGTGTCTCAGTTCTTTAGCCCCAAAAATCTGCTGGCTAAAATGAATAATTTGAGATTAAAGTGAACTTTGTAGGATACTTGCCCAATCTCATACCAGGCCCTTATAGGTACTCTTTGTTCTCCTTTTTAAAAAAAAAAAATATTTTATTGATTTTTGTACAGAGTGGAAGGGAGAGAGAGAGAGAGTTCGAAACATCAATGAGAGAGAGAGTCATCGATCAGCTGCCTCTTGCATACCCCCTACTGGGGATATGCCCGCAACCAAGGTACATGCCCTTGACCGGAATCGAACCCGGGGCCCTTCATTCCCAAGCCGACGCTCTATCCATTGAGCCAAACGGGTCCCGGCTCCTCCTTTTCAATTGATTTTAGAGAGAGAAAGGGAAGGAGAGAATGATGTGAGAACAGTACACCAGACTCACTATCTGGGATGATTGGAATTAAAACTAAACTGAGATGAGAGAGAAGTTCTCCACTCCTGAGATAGATAATGGGGCCAGCAGTGGTAGGAGGGGAGTTAATAAAAGAGTAAAGAGTCTAATATCTCATCAGCCTGGGTATATATTTTCCTAGGGTTTTTGCATCCAGAGAGACTAAGGCTTCAAATTTATCTTGGATACCATGCTTTTCAAGTGCCATCTTTCTGTATTTCAGCTCATGAATTGAAGTATTCAATTTAAGGTACCTACATGTTATCTAAAGTCTTATTTTCTGCATTTTTATTATTTGCATATATACTAGTATAAGAGCAAAAGTAATGAGAGAAAAGTGATGAAGTAGAAAATATATTGGAACAATAATAAAATCAATGGATTTTAATCCAAGTAGGCTTTTATTTTTTAACAAAAACTTGTTTAGTTAAGAAACTACATATTTAACAGAAATACTGTTAAAGCTAGAAGTTAAAGGTACATTGAGGGAGAGTCCTTTGTTTAACCAATTTAAAGGAATCCATTTTACACATAAGACTAAATTCAAGAAAATTATTTTTAAGTTTTATTACTGATAATTTTTGGAGAACAAAGTTGATTATATTTTGCTCATAGAGGAGCAATGTTAAAATAAGAGGTTTTATTAGGATTCAGCATTCAAAGAAATCACTGATCTAACCATCATATTGTAAGTGCAAAAAAAACCAACACTTACCCTAAATGTCTATAGTAATTTAAAATACTATTCCCAGTTCTATTAAATAGGCCTAAATAAATGGCACATAATAATTACAAACAACATTTAATGTATTAAGTGCATATATAGTAAGAAAATACATAGGTGACCTAAAACTAAAGTACTATATTTAACACTAAGTAATTTTACTTATCCTCTTAGAATTTAGGATATTGCTAGGGAAGTAATAGATTGCATAAAACTTTAAAAGTTAACCAAATATTTAAAAACTTTGTTTTGATAACAATTTCCTAAAACAAGCAGAGGCATTCAGAGAGGAAGGGAGAAGGGGAGATAGAAACATTAATGATGAGAATCATTGATGAGCTGCCTCTTGCATGCCCCCAACTGGGGATCGAGTCAGCAATCTGGGCATGTGCCCATAACCAGAATCAAAGTCTGGATTCTAGTCTGCAGCCTCACGCTCTATCCACTGAGCAAAACCCGCTAACCATTGTCCTTTTTTAAAGCCCCATCGCTGCCTTTTTTTCTTTCCTGACTTAAAAAAATTATTAAACTAAGATACCATGTAGGGGTATTGTTGGGAGTCCTCAGTAAACAAGCGAAACATTCCCCCATCAGTTCTTACTGAAAATTTAGGAAACAAAAAACTCACAGTTGTAGTTTAGTTCTCACAAGAAAATATTTTTGAGCACTTATTGCGAGCATACAGGTAGGGGTAAAAGGTGAAGGACTGTAGTTTACAATTTACAATATGCATTCACTACCACCCTCTATGAGATATCTCAATTTTAAAGAAGAAAGGTTTGGAGCATGTAAGTAACAGCCACGATTTACACTGCTAGCAGGTGGCAGAGCTGGGGTCGGTGTGAAACCCAGATTTACCTGTGACTTGGTGAACAGCTGGCTACAAAGGGCCACTTGGTAGTCAAGAGCAGGAATACATTTCTCAGCTCTTGCACCACCTTTTCGGTTTCCGAGGACACTTCGTGCAAGGAAACACCCCTTCAGTACCTACTTGCCCCGGGAATCCTACCGTCCATACCCCAGGCGTTGGTGTGGTCCACTGAGAGTGACCAGGAGCTACTGTCGGGGGCGTCGACATGCGGGGACGACATCCCCAAGAAGCAAGTTTCTTGGTTCAACAGGTCTCTGCACGGCCAGGCAACCCCTAGGTGCGCATCCCACTCCAGCCAGGCCTGTGTGCCCAACCCGCACCTCCCCCCCACCCCCCAAACGGCTTAACCCCCTCGCCCGGTTCAGCCCTCGCAGTCGGTTCTCCGGAGGCTCCAGTCCTGGCTCCTTTGGGGGCCGAAAGTGAAACGCACTTTTTTTTTTTGTATCGTGGGAGCCCTGCTCTCGGGATCTCATCTCAGATGCTGCTCCTGCAGACCAGACTTTTGACAGTCCTCCTAGCGCCTGCACTCCCCTGGCATGGTCCCTAGGGGGCGCCCGAGCCCGGTCGGCAGAGGATGCTCTGAGCCGGCGGGAGCCGGTCCCACCCTCTCTCACAGGTGGCGGAAGTCTAGCCACCTGACGTCTCGATGGTCAAGTGGGCGGAGCCAGAAGGAAGATGGCGGCGCCCACGGCTGCAGCGGAGCCTCAGGCTTCCGGGGGTCCCCGGCCCCCTGTTTGTCTGTTGGTGTTGGGAATGGCGGGGTCTGGGAAAACCACCTTCGTACAGGTGAGCTACAGGGCGCGGGCGGTGGTGGAAGGCCAGGGAAAGGGAGGGGAGGTAGCTTTCGGGGCTCCTTGGCGAGACCTCCTGGCACCGTATAGCCTGGGTGCCTTCAGGCTCCCTGAGTGCATGCATCCCTGGTGCCGTGTACCACGTGGTACTGCAGCTGTCCTGCCGACGACATTGCTGACTTGAAGACAGAGGCTTACAGTAACGAGACCAATAGAGTATCGAGTGCTACCACACAGGCTTTTGGTATAGATGGTTAAAGAATTACGTATTTCTTGTGCGCCTATCCTATTTCATGTGTGACAAAAAAGGGGTGTTGTAATAAGTGTAACCGAAAGTAACCTCACAGGGTGATTGGATCATAAATTAGTTTTTAGTTGAATTTATGGGGGGGTGCAATTGGTTAATAAAGTTACATAGATTTCAGGTGTACAGTTCTCCAGCACATCATCTGTATTTTGTATTGTGTTCTCCACCCCCAAGTCAAGTCTCTTTCCTTCACCGTTTATCCCCTCCTTTACCCTCTTCTACCAACCCCTACCCTTCTTCCCCTCTGGCAATCACCGTGCTGTGCCTGTGCCTGTGAGTTTTGTTTTTTGCTTAACCTCTTCACCTTTTCCACCCAGCACTGCCACCCCACCTCTCCGCTGACAGTTGTCAGTCTGCTCCTGTTTTGTTTATTTTGTTCAATAGATTCCACATATGAGTGAGATAATATGGATAATAAATTCTTAACTGGGCAGGTCTTGATGGGCAGTCACACCCCAGGCATATAACTTCTTTGGTACAAGGTTTATATTTGCTCTAAGTAAACCCTGTTCCTTTTTCTTTTCTTTTCTTTTCTTTTCTTTTCTTTTCTTTTCTTTTCTTTTCTTTTCTTTTCTTTTCTTTTTTTTTCCCTTCCTTCCTTCCTTCCTTCCCTCCCTCCTTCCCTCCCTCCCTCCCTCCCTCCCTCCCTCCCTCCTTCCTTCCTTCCTTCCTTCCTTCCTTCCTTCCTTCCTTCCTTCCTTCCTTCCTTCCTTCCTTCCTTTCTTTTTGTGGTGTGCATCTAGGTTAACTCACCTTTGAAAATGCCTCTTTTTCTTTTTAAAAAAATATATATTTTATTGATTTTGTACAGAGAGGAAGGGAGAGAGATGAAGAGCTAGAAACATCGATGAGAGAGAGTCATCGATCAGCTGCCTCCTGCACACCCCCTACTGGGGATATGCCCGCAACCAAGGTACATGCCCTTGACCGGAATCGAACCCGGGACCCTTCAGTCCCCAAGCCGATGCTCTATCCATTGAGCCAAACCGGTTTCTGCTGAAAATGCCTCTTTTCCAAGAGAGCACATAATCTTATTAATTATCCACTTCCCACCTTTCTCCCAATTTATGTAATCTTCCTTACGTTATCTCCTTAATTCCAAATGAATAAGTAAAAGAAACTGTAAAACTTTCATTCTTTGGAGCATTTGCCATCTTGCTGCCTGGTTATTGTCATCATTTTGAGTGAAACAGGCAGTGGGGATGCAGTGAAAATGAGGTTGACAAGGTTCTGCTTTCATGGGACTACTGGTTTATTGGAGGTGATAGGATAAAAACCCCTACACAAAGCAAGTAAATAAGAGGATGCTCTGATAAATGGGTAATAAAGAAAGGTTGCATTTCAACTGAGAGTTGAATGTTGGAGGGGACTACAATATTTCAGATAGTGGGAAATGTCCTTTGTCCTCTTATCATGCCTTCTTTGTCTGTCTATCCGGCACCTCACATCTGTCCAGAGGCTCACAGGACATCTGCATAGCCAAGGCTCTCCGCCTTACGTGATCAATCTCGACCCAGCTGTGCATGAAGTTCCCTTTCCTGCCAATATTGGTGAGTAAACTACTGTTTTGTTTAAAGTTTCTTGGAATGGAAACCCTCCAACCTGCCAGTTCTCAATGCTTTCATTTTTTCCTAAACAGCCGACTTTAATTTCCCATGGATTTGCTAGAATCCCTGAACAGGCTTCTGCCTTATTCACATTCTCTCTTTGTTTACTCCTTTCCCTTTGTTTCCTTTCTACTCAGTGTTTTTCTTTCCTTTCTGACCCTGAGGTATCAGGCTAATGTTTGGGAAAATGAAGTGGCTTCTCACTTCTATGCCCTAAACTCTTCAGCAGGCTCTGATATATACACCTTTTTATTTAGTTTCTTTTCCCAAAGTTTAGAGTATAAGGGTTCTTGTGTGGGTTCTTGCTTCTACTTCCAAAGTTATATGGAAAATGTGCATAGGTATGCATATGTGCATTGTTTTGGGGAGAGGTTCTCAGTTATTGTAATAGGAATCTGACTATAAAAATATAAGAATGTGGTCCAGGGTCATGATTCTTTTTTTTTTTTTTTAATAGATTTTATTGATTTTGTACAGAGAGGAAGGAAGACAGAGAGTTAGAAACATCGATGAGAGAGGGTCATCGATCAGCTGCCTCTTGCACACTCCCTACTGGGGATGTGCCTGCAACCAAAGTATATGCCCTTGACCGGAATCGAACCCAGGACCCTTCAGTCCCAAAGCCGACGCTCTATCCATTGAGCCAAACCGGTTTCGGCTAGGGTCATGATTCTTGATAGGATCTAGGCTTCACTAGTGCTTCACTAGGCTTCACTAGGCTTCACTTGGCTTCACTTGGCTTCACTAGGCTATCACTGTGATAATCTTATCTCTTCTTAATCCTCTTAAGATGCTTATAACCCAAAACCAGCTAATAAAGGAAGGCCTTATATTAAGAAGCAGAGATTGTGTTCTGGTTAGTGTGGCTCAGTTACTTGAGCATTATCCTCTGCACGGAAGGTTGTTGATTATATATATGGCAAAGAATTTGGGGAAGAAAATCACCCATCATCTCAAAGAATGTGATTCTAATAGTTGATGGGGTTGAAGTATCCATCTTATATAAAAACTGCTGTTTGAAATTTTAACCCTGGTATTTGGCTTCTGTAAATACTTGTTGCTTAAGTAATAAGGAAAATAAGACTACTCCCACTTCAGAGAGGCCATTAAACCTTCTCTGGACGAAATTATCAGTGCTGGCGCCAGGCCAGGCCTTTGGTTGAGGTCTCAAGGCCCCAGCCCATAGGGGCTCTTTAAGAACTTGCAAAGGGGGTCGGAAACACCCCATATTTGGGAGACAAAAAAGGTAAAAATATATAAATAGGGAAAATTCCTCCATGTTGTGGCCCAGAATTTGAGAGACATTTTCCTCTGGACCCGCACACAATAAATGTAACACCATCTCTCTTAAGTATTGCTTGGTTCTTCTCCAGTTTTCTGTAACAGGGTAGGTTTATAGACTGATAGGTTTATTTAGATATTACTGGATAAATTAATTCCTTTTTATTTTTTAAATATATTTTATTAATTTTTTTTACCGAGAGGAAGGGAGAAGGATAGAGAGTTAGAAACATTGATGACAGAGAAACACCGACCAGCTGCCTCCTGCACCGCCCCCTACCGGGGGTGTGCCCGCAACCAATGTACATGCCCTTGACTGGAATAGAACCTGGGACCGTTCATTCCGCAAACCAATGCTCTATCCACTGAGCCAAACCAGTTTTCGGTTAATTCCTTTTTTACAATAATGTCTGCTGTACCTTTGTTATCAGTAGCTGTTAATAAGAATAAACATTTTTTTCTTGATTTAGCTCCCTTTTTCTATGCATATGTTTACTGACAAGGTATTTAAGTGTATAAAACTTATCTCTCTATCTCAGAACATCTCAACAGTAGCTTGAGAACTTGTAACGTAATATTGTTCATGGGTTACTTGACAGTTCTCCTTTGTAAGGACAGAAACCATTGTGAAGCTGGTAGAAGAGAATGCTGACAAGAGAATACTGAAAGGCTAGTTTTAGTTTCTTGCTGATAAAGTATGGAACACCTTCTGCCCTTCTGTTCTTTTCCTCACAATTTTGCTTCTTTTTCTATCACAGTTCAATGATCTTGGCTTAAAAATTACAAAACAGATTTGAAAAGTAATTCACCATAGAGGGAAACTTATTTTTTTCCTCAGAGGAAGCAGAGATGACTTGAGAGACCTCTTGGTTTAGGATATTATTGGGGGAGAACCTCAAGCTATAGTTTCTTACTTAGTATGTGTTAAATTCTAATTACTTCTTCACCTCCTTCCCCCAGATATTCGTGACACTGTGAAGTATAAAGAAGTCATGAAACAGTATCCTTTTTACTTCTTCGGTGTTGACTCATCTATGGCTAGTTACCCTCTGTATATTTTGAAGGAAAGTTTTTGGGTTTCCTTGTGAAATATACTAGCAAAATCGTTTTGATTACTTTAAAGCCATTAATTGGGAAAATGAAAGATGAATCTGGAAAGAAGTATTGTAAGTGATTAGAAATATTCTTTGAACTTGTGATTTTATTTTTTTACCAAATTCCTGGACTGCGGGCTGTTGTAATTAGAGAGCATAGATAACGAGAGGCTAGCTGGTAGCGTGCCTAGGACCCAGAAAGTAGTATTGTCTTGGAAGCTACATTCATTGGTCAGTACCTCTTCAAACTGGGGAACCCAGAAATGAGGAGGATCACCTCTTGCTTGGTACATAGCTGTGTGAAATGTGTACTTTCCCTCTAGGTAAGTCTAGGTAGAAAAACTAATTATAATCAGAAGCTGCTTGATTAGTGAGGATCAGAGCAAGGAGTGTTATGTAGATGTCCTTAATAGCTAATGCTGGCAGGCTCTCACTGCCTGATGCATCTGTCTAGTATGTTTTGGTCCCTTTAGTTTGTTCATTTTGCCTGGCCATCGGTAAAACAGTAAAGAGATGAAGAAGACCCTGATGATGAATGTTTCCTATGAAGTTACAGCTGTGTGGTACATACTAAGTCAAGGATTAGCTTGCCAATATTCATTAATGGACCACTAATGTAATGTTTGTGTGAATGATATCCTGTGTATGAACTTTATCATCTGAATTCATCTATAAGCAATTTAAATCCTCAACTTAGTGTCTAGATATGGACTTGGACCCAACGGTGGCATCGTGACCTCACTCAATCTCTTTGCTACTAGATTTGATCAGGTATGTCTGTCTGTTTTCACTCATATAGGCCTGACTGTGTAAAAACCTGTGGCTCTTCAATACCTTAGATTGATAGCGTTGGGAAAGAAGAGCAGTTAACCTGGGATATAAATATAGAAAAGAGGCATTTTGATAGAAAAGTAGGCTGTGAGAGGAAGATCAGTTTTATGAACACTTGACGTTTAATATTTGGGACAGCCAGTGAAACAGAAATACAGGAGACTGTTTGTTTCTTGATCTATAATTGGCTTATAGTGTTACCCTGAGGATGGAGTAAAGGGATGGGGGTAAGAAGGGGTGAGGTGGGCTAGCAGATATGGAACAGAAAAATGGGCTTTTTAAACTTGTGACAAATAGTTATCATCCTGTAGGTTTTCTCTGTCGCCTTCTGTGTTTTAAGAGTGCTTTGTAATCGATGTTTTGCCCTGACGTCACTCCATGAGACAGGCTATTAACATTTTGCGAAGCATCAGGAGAAGTGACTTGACAGTGACAGATCAAGTCTTCAGCTCTCAGACCCTGGCCCCGTGCCCCAGGGTGCTGCAGGGCTGCTGACGTGGCTGTTTCTGTGGTTCAGTGAGTTTACTGGTTGGTGTCCTGAGATTGAGAACACAGAGATTCAGTGGTTGATGGTACCTATGAAGCGGGCCTCTGGAGAGGGCCCTGTGACTTTATGCTGAAATCAGCTCCTGTTGTAATTGGCATCTTTTTCTTTTAGGTGATGAAATTTATTGAGAAGGCCCAGAACATGTCTAAGTAAGTGATTTCAGTTTAGCGCCTGTTTATTATTCTAGAGTTAACACGTTTCTAGGCTTTTTTGAAAAATTTCGGTTAGCATTAAGTTTTGAAAGAGTTTAGATTAAGATGAAACTATTAGAAGTGAAAAAAAGATAGTCAAGAAAATCCTTAAGATGATAGATAGTGTAGAGCTAAATTTAATAGTATCTATCCCCAACCATTTTGGTATATGGTCATAGTTTCTTAGATATTTTGAAACTATCTCTGTTTTCTCTTGGAAAACCATATTTGTTGGCATTAAAATCTCTGAAACATTTTTCTAACCCTTATTTAAATGAATATAATATACATAAATCAGAGAGAATAATTGTTTTTTAATTTTAAAAGTATCAAAATATAAAATAAAATATTTGTTCATATTATTATTACCCACTGTTAATAGATTAACTGTTGATAGGTTTGCTTTAAAAAAAAAGAACGATAATTAATTATTTGTATAAAAAAGGATATATGACCCTTATAAAGAATTTAGCCTGGTTGGTGTGGTTCAGAGGTCATGCACCAGAAGGTCATGGTTTGATTCCCCATCAGGGCACATGCCCAGGTTGTGGGCTTGATCCCCAGGAGGGAGCATGCAGGAGGCAGCTGATCGATGATTCTCTCTCATCATTGATGTCTCTCCCTTTTACTTTCTCTCTGAAATCAATAAAAAAAAATATATTAAAAAAAACAGTTCAAACCATTCATAATTTAAAAGGCGCATTTATGATCACTAGAAATAACTATCATTACTATCAGTGACTATCATTTCATATGTTTCTATGCATATATACATAAGTAGAAGAATGGAGGGATAAGGTGTTTTGCAAAAATAGCATAATAAAAAGGTAGTTTTTAAAAATATCTTTTTTTGAGCCCTATCTGGTTGGAGTGTTGGCCTGTGGACTAAAGTGTCCTGGGCACACTGGGACTAAAGAGTCTGGTCAAGGGCACATGCCCAGGTTGTGGGCTTGATCCCCAATAGGGGCAGGCAGGAGATAGCCGATCAGTGATTCTTTCTCATTGGTTTCTATCTCTCCCTCTACCTTTCTCTCTGAAACCAATTAAAAAAAAATATATATGTGTGTGTGTGTATATATATATATATATACACACATATATTTTTTTAATATATTTTTATTGATTTTTTACAGAGAGGAAGGGAGAGAGACAGAGAGCTAGAAACGTCGATGGGAGAGAAAACACCGACCAGCTGCCTCCAGCACACCCCCTACCGGGGATGTGCCCGCAACCAACGTACATGCCCCTGACCGGAATCGAACCTGGGACCTTTCAGTCCACAGACCGATGCTGTACCACTGAGCCAAACCGGTTTCGGCCCAATAAAAATATATTTAAAAAATATCTTTCTTAAGATATAAACTCACCTACCATAAAGTTCACTCCTTTAATTTATACAATTTAGTGTTGTTTAGTACTCATAAAATTGTGTATTGATTCCTACTATCTAATTTCAGAACATTTTTATTATCCCAAAAGAAACGTCATACACATTAGCAATCTTTCTTTTTCCCCAGCTCCTATTGGCTGCACTATTACATTCCCACTAGCAGTGCATGAGGGTTCCAGTTTCTTTATATCCTTGTCAATATTTGTTATATCTCCATTTTTTATTATAACTGTCTTAGTGGGTGTGTAGGTGTGAGATGGTATTACATTCTGTGTGTCTTTTCTCCAACTTCTGAATTAAAAAAAAAAATATATATATTTTTGATTTTTTTACAGAGAGGAAGGGAGAGGGATAGAGAGTTAGAAACATCGATGAGAGAGAATCATCGATCAGCTGCCTCTTGCACACCCCCTACTGAGGATGTGCCCCCAACCAAGGTGCATGCCCTTGACCAGAATTGAACCCGGGACCTTTCAGTCCGCAGGCTGACTCTCTATCCACTGAGCCAAACCGGTTTCGGCAAGTGTAATACTTCTTTAATGGTCTTTCTCGTCACAGATATGTCTTGATTGACACACCTGGGCAGATTGAAGTGTTCACCTGGTCAGCTTCTGGGACAATCATCACAGAGGCTCTGGTGAGTATTGTAGTTATTACTGAGAGCTAAACTGGATAAGTCTTTTTATTGCCTGGGATCTTATGTGGAAGGGAGTTGTAGAATCTCTGTAAAGTGGTTCTCTCTTGTTAAGGAGATAGGAAAAATTTGGGGACAGACCATGAGCCCTCTGGCTAAGGCTTTGATTATTTTGTGGCTTTAGGCATCCTCCTTTCCAACGATTGTCATTTATGTAATGGACACATCAAGAAGTACCAACCCAGTGACCTTCATGTCCAACATGCTCTATGCCTGCAGGTAACTGGTTATTGCTGGGATGACATTACATAAGGAATGGGGCCTCCTCTTCTTTGAGTCCTGAGTGCTTATCCCTAGATTTGTGCGCATTCAGGTTTGCCACTCAGTTTAGTGGTTCTGAGTTGGGGAGGGGTCAGAAGAGAAAAGAGGCACACAAGGAGGAAGATGAGAAGTTGGCATCCTTGGTCAGCAACTTCTCATCTTCCTCCTTGCCTGCTACAGAAAGAAAGAGGTAGTGTGTGAATATGAATCTTTTTGTAGTGGCTCCCAGTTCACTGAAGTCCAAGTCTAGATAAAAAAGAGAGTTCCTTTTCTGTATTATGATATAGAAAATATAACATGGGGAGAGTTTATGAGTAAAAAAGTTTATCCATAATTCTGAAATACATAGGTTTGCCCCAAGTGTGGTACAATTACGAGAGGGAGGACATACCTCACTAGGTTATGTCAGTGCATTAGATCTAGGAGCAAGCCATGCCATTGCTGAAGCTGAGAGAATTTCGTTTTTGGGGATACAGAAAGCCATCACCAACATTTGCCCCTTCTAGTATGATTAGGGTTGTCTCTTATTTGATGCAAGAAATCCTAGTCCAGCCGAAACCGGTTTGGCTCAATGGATAGAGCGTCGGCTTGGGGACTGAAAGGTCCCGGGTTCGATTTCGGTCAAGGGCATGTACCTTGGTTGCGGGCATATCCCCAGTAGGGGGTGTGCAAGAGGCAGCTGATCGATGTCTATCTCTCATCGATGTTTCTAACTCTCTATCTCTCTCCCTTCCTCTCTGTACAAAATCAATAAAATATATTTAAAAAAAAAAATCCTAGTCCAAATGAAATCCGATGACTGACAGCATTTGCTGATTTAAAAAAAATTACATATCTATATTTCTATATATCTTTTTTTTAAAAATATATTTTATTGATTTTTGTACAGAGAGGAAGGGTGAGAGATAGAGAGTTAGAAATATCGATGAGAGAGAGTCATCGATCAGCTGCCTCTTGCACACCCCCTACTGGGGATATGTCCACAACCAAGGTACATGCCCTTGACCGGAATCGAACCCGGGACCCTTCAGTCCCCAAGCCGACACTCTATCCATTGAGCCAAACCAGTCTTGGCAATATTTCTATATATCTTGATTGATTTCAGAGAGAAAGGGGGAGAGAGAAAGAGAGATAGAAACATCAATGATGAGAGAGAATCATTGATTGGCTGCCTCCTGCACATTCTCTACTAGAGATCAAGCCCGCAACCCAGGCATGTGCCCTTGACAGGAATTGAACATGGGACCCTTCAGTCCACAGGCTGACACTCTATCCACTGAGCAAAACCAGCTAGGGCCATTTGTTAATTTTTATATTGTTTAAAACAATTATTTGGTAAAAGCAAGCAACCAACAGACAGACACACACACACACAACAGAATCAGTAGCAAAGCATTCTTACCTAGAGTTATGTGTGTGTGTATGTATGATGGTGGGGGTGGTATTTCTCTTGGGAGAGGAGGACATGTACCTTATAAGAAAGGATACCTTATACTTAGAGTCTAAACTCATTCCTCTTTTCTCAATTCCAACTGACTGACATGGTAAATAGGAGCTGAAGTGTTTTTACTAATAATGTCTTGATGTTTGATTTTTCAGCATCTTATACAAAACCAAGCTTCCTTTCATTGTGGTCATGAATAAAGTAAGTGGATCCTTACTGTTGTGATTTCAGAACTGTATTTGTTTTCATCGAACTTTGTGTTATTGGAAGATTTGGAATAGGTATTGAGAAAATGCTATTGAGATGCCAGAGAGCAGATTCAAGCTTACCTGAAACAGCCATGGGCACTTGTAGGGAGAAGATTCAGTCAGATTGAATATTTATCACTCAATGATAAATGACCCACAATTCTGATATGATAGCAACTTTCATCCAAAATTATTTCAGCCTAGGTAGAGCAGCCCTCACCTGTAGGGTGTGGATTATCCCTCAGAATCAAGACTATGGGTGGAGCTGGTACTGCTAGTCTATTGGAAGTGGCAACTAAAACAAAAAGACAAAACTTCCCTTTGGTTGGTAGCTAGGATACAGCAGACTAGTTGACTTTAGAGCCTGGAATGGGCTGGCGTCCACTGTGGTCACGGTCACTTTGCAGTGGATAGTGAAGAGAACATGTACCTTCATTTAATTAATACTCTACAGCAGTCTTGGTTCTTTGTGGTTTGTAGTGGAAGAGGACCTGGGGAAAGCAGAGAAAGAAAATACATGAATGATTGCTTTCTTTATTTTTATTGAATTTATTGGGTGACATTGGTTAATAACACTATATATGTTTCAGATGTACAGTTCTATAGTACATCATCTGTACACTGTATTGTGTGTTCATCACCCCAGGTCAAGTCTCCTTCCATCACTGTTTGTAATCCCTATACGCTCTTCTACCTCCTCATGCCCCTGAATAATTGCTTATTATTATCATCTCTAAATTAAAAAAAAAAGGTGGGGGAGGGGATTATTTGGTGTCTAAACTTATCTCTGGTTTCTCATAGTTGGCTTCTCTCTGTTGCAGACTGACATCATTGATCACAGCTTTGCAGTGGAATGGATGCAAGATTTTGAGGCTTTCCAAGATGCCTTGAATCAAGAGACTACATATGTCAGCAACCTGACTCGTTCAATGAGCTTGGTGTTAGATGAATTTTACAGCTCACTCAGGGTAAGCTCCTCTTCTGCTCACACCGACAGTCTCCCAAGATAACCTCTTCACCCATAGGGCTGGCTTTGACCGATCTTAGGAAGGAAGTTAATTACTTTTTGAAAAGTACATTTTAAAGCATTAACTTATTAAATACTGGAAGTTTATAGATGAATAGAGACCCTACCCTCAAGAGAGTTTATGGTCTACTCTAGTTAGAAGAGAAGGCTACACACAGAATTAAAACAGAATTAAGAAAGATGGAATTTGGCCTTGATGGTAGTGAGAGGGAAGATCACTTGAAATGAGAAGTTTTGGAGGATATACTTCAGAGGTATGCTTTGAAGGAAGGGTAAGATTTGTATAAGCAAAAATGGGTATTGGTGGCAGAGCGTATGTTAATTGCCCAAGTAAAGGCACTGAGATACTAATTTTCATAGAGAACAGACAGTGGTTTGAATTGATAGGGAATAGATTAAAAGCCCCACTACTTGTTTGTCCCTAATTATCTTTGTTCAATTCTCTGTTTTCCTTAGACTTATTTCCATGACTTTTTAGTAGACATGCTGCTCTTCGGTTTAGCTTTATTCTTTGCCAGAGACTTCTCTAAGTATCTAAACTTCTGTATAAAGATTCTTATGAAATTTGAACAAAATAATGTACACATCTGTTTGCTCAGTGGCACTAATGTTGCTTTTGTCAGGTGGTAGGTGTGTCTGCGGTTCTGGGTACAGGCTTAGATGAACTCTTCGTGCAAGTCACCAGTGCTGCGGAAGAATATGAAAGGTGAGGAAAAGGGAACTCTGTTGATGACATTCTTAATGACCCACAATTCTGATATGATAGCAGTTTTGCGAGGCAAAGCTTTTTGGTTTTCATAGTATATCTATTACATTTGCCATGTGTATGTATACTGACCACATTTAGGGGTAACTAATACCCATTAACTTAAAAAAAAAAAATAGTGTAAAATCTTCATTGTATTTAATGAGTAAGAACAGGCAGGAGTCACCAGACTTTTTGTGAAAAGCCAGGTAATAATTATTTTAGACTTTGTGATCTCTGTTGCAATTGTTCAACTCTGTCATTGTAGCAAAAAAACATCCATAGACGGTTTATAAATGAATGAACATGGCTGTGTTCCCGTAAAACATTAATTATAAAAATAGGCAACGGACTTGATTTGACCCGTTTTCCACATTGGCTGACCCCATTAGCATTAATGCTTTGGAGTCAGACAGTTAAGAGTTGGATTTCTGTTTCCTCCACTTAATAATAACTTATGCAAGTTTTCCTCAGTTGTAGTTCAGGGATTGTTATATTGGGAATCAGTGAGCTGAACAGAAGACGCCTTACTAAGCCAGATTTGGAGTCTTTATTACGCTAGCGGTCTCAGAGGAGTAGCAGCCCGAGTCTGAGCAAAGCAACATGGAGGAAACTTTCCCTTTATACCCCTCCCCCCCAGTCCCTTTGTCTCCTCAATATGGGATTTCCGAAACTTTGCGTGCTTCTTAAAGAGCCCTATGTAGATATTTTGTGGGAAGCTTGTAACCTGAACACAGCCCAACTGAGTAGCCTTGAGCACAGTACAATTTAGATAACTAAAAGGCATGGGAGTAACCAGGGACAGCAGCAGAGTGACTTACAAGACCAGATAATTGAGCTTATTTTCCTTATTATTCGAGCAAGCATGTTTCCAGAAGCCAAGAATAGCAGAGTTAATTTACAGAACAAAAGACTACCTATGCTTAGTGGGAAATTTCAAACTGGCAGTTTTTACAGAATAGAGGTTACGGGGACAAGATGGAGTGCCTGTGCTTCAGGGTAACAGCACGTACTGCTAAGGTTGTTGTGAGATTTGAGAAAACATCTGTAGCACTCAGTGCAACTGCTGACACACAGCACATTTCATAATAAATGATTGTTATCACTGTCATAATTAATATTGGGATTCCAATCACCTAAAGGAAGTGGAGCCGGAGCATGTAGACACTTCCCTTGTGTCTGTAGCCTGTTAGTTGCTGCATCCCTACATGCTCCTTTGGTCCCATAATTACCAGGATCCTAACAAACACATTGTCGTTTTCAGACACGTTATTTTGAGTTTGATTCATTAGATAAGGGGTGTGTGTGTGTGTGTGTGTGTGTGTGTGTGTGTGTGTGTGATCAAAGCCTTAGGAAAAGACTTTTGTATTCTTTCATAGTTGCCCTGTTAAAACCACATAATTAAAAGCTAATATATGTTGGGCTTCCTGAACCCAACAGTCCTCGCTTCTTTTACTCATCTCAAATGTTTATCCATATGAGTGCTAATAAGCTCCTTAGTCAATGTCTCTAAACTAATCTTTCCAGCTCAACAGTCAGACATTTTTCTTTTTTCTAGTTTCAGGGGTGAGGACAGGTATCTTGGCTTTTAATTCCATAGGGATAGGATTTCAGTGAGTTACACTTTTGTTATGCCTGACATTCAGTTAAATAAGATCTTTTTTATTTTCAGAGCCCTAGGAAAACAAGTGATGTGGGGGTAGGCAGGACATATTTTAAACACAGCAATTTAGAAATTGTTTCTCTTTCAGGGAGTATCGTCCTGAATATGAACGTCTGAAGAAATCGCTGGTAAGAGAGGAGGCTGTTAATGTATTTTAGGGCCACTAAAAAAACAACCTCAAACCATACGCTCATCCTGCCATTCATACTTTTGTTTGGGCCATCAGTGTGGCTTTTAGATACTCATTAATTTAAATTTGTAAATGTCTGTATGTGCTGTCTGGATGTAGAAAGTCCCCTTAAATTATTTTTCTTTTCTTTAGTTGAAGTTTTAAAAACCATATTTTTCTGCCCTGGTGAGGAAGCTCAGTTGGTTAGAGCGTAGTTCTGATATGCTAACAAATTGATGTGTCTCAACCCCCTCCCCCCAATTCCTCTCCCTCTAAAATCAATATATATTTAATTTAAAAGTTTTTTAAATCAGATTTTCTTATTATATGTGCTAAGCCCTTATTACACCCAACCCCACCCCTACTCCGAGGTCCATGGTAAAGGCTAGTTGTAGAATTCTGTTTAGGAACAGAGAGGTGCTTCACAACTCTTATTTCAGTGGATCAGGTGTCCTGTCCCCATTGGCCGACTGGGCTCCATATCACCGAGCCGTCCTGCTGTATCTGTTATACTTGAGGGGTCTTTTGTGTCCAGTTTCTGAAACTTCTGGTTCATTTTCTAGAGCCCTCCAGCCTGAACTGCTAATTTGGGCCCATACTGCTCAGTGTGTCTATCCATATCAGCCATCCCTTATCTGCCTCAGTGTTTAGGTAGTCTCTGGCATTTGTGTAATTGGTCATTTCCATATAACTTGGGGCTCTTTTTTGAGTCTGATGATTGTTTTTCTCTACATACACAGGCCAGTGCACAGAGCCAGCAGCAGAAAGAACAGCTAGAACGCCTTCAGAAAGATATGGGCTCTGTTGCCTTGGACACAGGAACTGCCACAGGTATTGGAGGGTCTCTTGGCATTAGGGACTAAAAGTGAATACCGGTATGTTATTTTTACTCAGCAGGAAGATACTTATATTTAAGAGCAGAAGGGGAAGAGGAGGATGCTTTCCTTATGTGGGCTTTGCATATTTCTTATTAAATTTATTTCAAGGATTTTTTTCTTCTCTGTTAGTGTTGAAAATAGTTTTTTTTTTGTTTTTTTTTTAACAATTGTATCTTTTAACTGGTTATGTTTGTGTGTACAAAACTTTTAATTTTTGTGCATTAGTCTTTTTATTCTACTTTACTGACTTTTGAGTTTTTGTCATTGATTCTCCAGGGAGTTCTAGTTAAGTGTATATACTTGCACCCATCCTCACTTATTGCTGGGCTGGCCTTTAAAGGAGTGAAGTTCTATTCAGGAAAGCTGTTGCTGTGCTCCTAGTAGAGAATATGCAAAGCTGCTTGGAGGAGATGCTAGAAATGGCCTGGGTTGACCAGGTACATGAACTTGCCTATGCCGTCCTTGTTGCACACCTCAGCAACATCAGTTTTTATGGAGTCACTCATGAATACATGAAGTGGCAGCTGTTGAATCTGTTGCAAAGGGTCTGCTGTACTTAGATATCCTGTTAAAGCTGGAGGAGTTTCAGTAAATTACTTGGGGGAATCACAAGTACAGTTGGTAATTCTGAGTTGGGCATGGAATGAAGTATTGAGTATTGACACACCATCCTTTCTCAGGGCCAGGGCCACTTTAGTTTTGTGCCCCTTGGTGTTGCTGCTTTTTAAAATATATATATTTTTTTATTGATTTTTTTACAGAGAGGAAGGGAGAGGGAATTAGAAACATCAATGAGAGAGAAATATCAATCAGCTGCCTCCTGCACACGCCCTACTCGGGATGTGCCTGCAACCAACGTACATGCCCTTACCGGAATCAAACCTGGGACCCTTGGGTCCACAGGCTGGCGTTCTATCCACTGAGCCAGACCAGTTAGGGCACATGTGTCAAACACAAGGCCCGCGGGCCAAATCCGTCCTGCCAGGCCTTGCAATGTGGCCCGCACCGCGCTGTCATCATTGCACTCTGCTGCGTTTCCATCACAATGACAGTTTATGACTGTTCAGTAAACCATTCGGCCCGCGATTTAGGCTGGATTTTAGATTTTGGCCCCTTCTCTGATTGAGTTCGACACCCCTAAGTTAGGGCATTGCCTCTATTATTATATTCAGTTTTCCTTAACTCCTCCACCACTCTTATTTCTGAAGAATACCCTGGTTCCTCTATTCTGGATCATTTTACAGTGTTCTCTTCTGACCCTTTCTGAACTTAATTTCCACCAGCAAGCATCCTCGGTGCTCCACACTGACCCTTGACTCACTAGCACTCTGGATCTGCTCAAAGGTCTTCATAAGAAAATCCATAGTCTATTCCAAGCTGTCAGCTATTAAAAATGAATGAGCCTGGCAGCATGACTTACTGGTTGAGCACCGACCTATGAGCCTGAGGGTCACAGTTCGATTCCCCGCCAGGACATATGTTTGGGTTGTTGGATCCTCAGTGTGGGGATCTCTCTGAAATCAATTAAGGGAAAGGGGGGGAAAAATAAATAAAATATATATATATTAAAGAATGATATTCATACTAAGAGAAGCTACTTGAGAACTATTTTCCTTAGTTTAAAAATAAGATCTTCAGCCGAAGCCGGTTTGGCTCAGTGGTAGAGCGTCGGTCTGCGGACTGAAAGGTCCCAGGTTCGATTCCGGACAAGGGCATGTATATTGGTTGCGGGCACATCCCCAGTAGGGGATGTGCAAGAGGCAGCTGGTTGATGTTTCTCTCTCATCGACGTTTCTAGCTCTCTATCTCTCTCCCTTTCTCTCTGTAAAAAAATCAAAAAAAAGAAAAAAGAAAAAAGATCTTCAGCCCTAACTGGTTTTGCTCAGTGGTTAGAGCGACAGGCTGCAGACTGAAGGGTCTTGGGTTTGATTCCAGTCAGGGGCACATGCCCGGGTTGTGGGCTCGATCCCCAAAAGGGAGTGTGCAAGAGGCAGCCAATCAATGATTCTCTCTTATTATCGATGTTTCTATCTCTCCCTCTCCCTTCCTCTCTGAAATCAATAAAAAAATATATTAAAGAAAAACAAAACTTAAAAAATAAAAAGACCTCTTGACTTACTAGAATAATGAGAGCACTTTGTGATTAGACTGTTGAAATGTTATGTGGTATTAACAATACATTTGGAAGAAGTAGGATCTGCGTTTTATCCTGACCATTTTCATCCAGCCAAATTCAAAATTGTAGTTATTTACTGATTCAGAATCTTCTTTTGGAGGAGGCATGTGTAAATGACATGCTGCTGGTGTTCTCTCTGTAGACGGCTTATCTTCTGCTCGGGACCCTTCTGACTTGATCTTGACTCGGGGAACCTTGGATGAAGAGGATGAAGAAGCAGACAGCGACACTGATGATATTGACCACAGAGGTGAGAGGTGGCTGAGGTGGCTCATGAAAACAGACTAGCTGCTTATCCTCACATAGCTTGGTCAGGACCTTCTTGTTAAGAGAAGGTCTTGAATATGCAGATTGAAGGGTCGAAGGTCGATTCTGGTCAAGAGCATGTGTCTCAGCTGCAGGCTTGATCCCCTGGGTGTGTATGGGAGGCAACCAATCTTTGTCTCTCTCACATCGATATTTCTCTCTCACTCTTCCCCCTCCCTCTCATTGTCTAAAAAAAAAAAAAAAAAAAAAAAAATCAATGGAAAAAATATCCTTGAGTGAGGATTAACAAGAAAGGAAAAATATTGGGGACAGAGGAGATGGTTAAGGTGTAGCACCAGGAAAGAATCCCACGCATTGGGAGTTCCTGGCCTTCTGCTGAATGATTAATATTGAGCTGATTACAGGCCTTTTTATTAGTCTGTCTTCTCAAGTTAGGTCCTGATTCAGTTTGAGGAACCTACGATTTGGTTTATTGTAATTGTTTTAAGAATACATAAGGAGGCCTCAGCAGATCTGAAGGGACTGTAACACTCTGAGGTTACAATGGCTCTGGAACCCCAAAAGGGTTAACTTGGCATAGTCTTATGGAATGTGAACAGAGTCTGTTTCTCGAAACAGCCCTTTTAGATCCTCGCTGTGACCAAGAGCAAACTTCTCTTTATTTCAGTGCACTGGATGCTATCATGTAAAGTGCCTCAAGTCATTAGATGTATTGAAGTGTAATTTATAGAGTAAAACCCACCTTTTAAAAGTTTCTAGTTTGAGAAGTTGTGCTTTCCCCGCCCCTCCAAATTAAAAGAGAAAGTTTATTTAGAAAGTAGAAGAAGTGAGGCTCAGCGAGGCCCTCCCAGAGGGCTCTTGGAGCTGAGGAGAGAGAAGGGCAAAGGTAAGGTGCCTGGGGGAGGAAGAGAAGGATCGGAAAAGCTCAGGCCTGTGGGGGGAGGGGGGCGCTTCTTGAGTAGTCTTAACGTAGTCTTGTAACCACCATCATAATCAAGATACAGAACACTTCATTACCCCCAGAGTTCTTTCATGCCCTTTTTTCTTCAGTCCCTTCCTGTATACCTAGCTCCTGGCAATCACTGTTCTAATTTCTGTTCCTATAATTTTGCCTTTTCTAGAATGTCATATAATTGGAATGACAGTATTTAACTTGCATTCAACTTTTTTCACTCAGTATAATTTTTTGTGTGATTTGTTGCATGCATTGGTGTTTTTTACAGTTGAGTAAAACTCCATTATATGAATCTACCACGAGTTGTTTATGCATTCATCACCTGGTTGACGTTTGGGTTATTTCCAGATTTTAGCTCTGATAACTAAAGCTGCTATTAACATTAACAGATTTTAGTGTGGACATATGTTTTCATTTCCCTTGGATAAAAATACTTAGGAGTGGGACCTCATTTTAGTTACTTTATGAGGGAGGATTTTTCTCCCCCACTTACAGTAAAAGAAACTGTACATTTTGGGCCACCTGGTAAGCATGCTCTGGGAGACTTTTCCTGACGGGGAGAAGTGAATGCTTAGAAACAGGGTACTGTGTCTGAGGGACGGGTGGCAGCAGGTCTCGTCTACCTGTCCATTGGGAGGGTTTAACCAGAATCGACCTTTCTTTCCTTGCAGTTACGGAGGAAAGTCGTGAAGAGCCAGCGTTCCAGAATTTTATGCAAGAGTCAGTGGCACAGTACTGGAAGAGAAACAAATAGTTTCTAGAAGTTCAAACATTTGGAACTCTGTGAAGAAACCGTTCTTACCTCTGAATGGGGTTACTATAAAGAACCATTTTACACAGAATAGCAGAGTTTCTCTAATTAGGGAGCTTTCCTGACTCCAGTGAAGCCAAGGATAGAAGTTTGGACCTGGCAGGTAGAGTTGATTCCCCATGGCCTTTCCCTTGGATTTTGCAAGGAAGGATTTTCGGACTGTTCTTGGATGCTGGTATTCTGCCTGTAATCCTTCACATTGTATTATTTGAACTCAAGTATTGTACTTTTGCTGCTAACGGATGGAATAGAGAGAGAACATATTGTTCACTTCAGAGCTCTATGATTAGGCTGTATTTATAGCCTGTTCCCCAAGCATCTTGCCCTTGACCCATGAGTTCTCCTTTTAGCAGAATGGGAGACAAGAAACGAGCTTGTACAGAGTGGCAGTGGCGTCTCCTTGGCAACCATTCAATGTTGATATGAAATGCTTGGTAGCTCATTATAGGATTGTTGAAGAAAGTGGACAAAACATATAATTAATAAGAATCCTGTTTTTGATGGTGACTTGGATAGAGTTTTTAATTTTAACTTTGGTATAAGCCTGCCTGTCAGAATTTAAAATAAGAAAATTATGTAATTTTCTGTTGTATAGTAATCACTTCTGTTGATCAGAGAGATTTAAAGACACATGTCCAAACCTGTCTCAGTAAGGTGATGTTTACTAAAGTTTCCCTGGTTACACACATGTAGTAACCAGGTATAGAGCCAGGCCCTGTTTGCATTTTACTTTGAACTTAATGCAAAATATGCTTGCTGATTTTTCAAAGGCCATGGACTTGGGTCAGGTGTACATTCCATATATAACAATCATGGTTTACCCTGCCTCCATTCTTCACAGTATCTCAAACTAGTACATTTTTCCTAAGGAATTTTGTTCCTGCCTAATCTGTCCTCCAATAGTTCTGGAAATGTGGTCTGTGGGCCAGAAGCATAAGCATCACCAGGGAAATTGTTAGAAACGGAACACTGAAGACCGAATCATAAATGGGGTGGGGCCCAGCAATCTGAACCACTGCTCTAACAACCCAAACAGCGTGGGACAGTTCTGGGCCAGATGATTCTCAGGTATGTCATATGCTTTATCAGAGTACCCTAACTTTGACCATCTGGTGCCTCTTCTCCAATTTAAACATTCTAACAATAAAAGTATTTTATTTTACTATGAAGTATTAATTTTAATATTCTATACCTAGTGGGAACCGCTGGCCTAAAATTTTGAATCTATAAGAGGAAACCATTTGCACAGCAAAACTCTGAACATACCTGGTTTTCCCCTTAGTACTGTGAATACTTTTTCCTTAAAGAATAACTTGTATTGCCCTAACCGGTTTGGCTCAGTGGATAGAGTGTTGGCCTGCAGACTGACGGGTCCCAGGTTTGATTCCGGCAAGGGCATGTACCTTGGTTGTGGGCACATCCCTAGTAGGAGATGTGCAAGAGGCAGCCGATTGATGTTTCTAACTCTCTTTCCCTATCCCTTCCTCTCTGTAAAAAAATCAATAAAATATATTTAAAAAAACACACACACACAAAAAAACTTGTATGGCCTACCAGTGGTCGGCAATCTGCAGCTCACAAGTTACAGTTTGCCACTCTGTTAACTGAATTTGCTGACCACTGACCTAGACTCTCGATTCTAATAATTACAGGATGTTGTTGTTCCTTGTGATTGAGCCTCTATCCCAGTGGTCAGCAAACTCAGTCAACAGAGTGGCAAACCGTAACTTGTGAGCCGCAGTTTGCCGACCTCTGGCCTACAGTATATGCTCCATAAGGCCAGGCACAGTGTCTTAATTTTGGTCTTGATTAAAGGAGTGCTCTAAATTGCACAAGATTTGTAATCTGCATCCATAAACTTCAGCAGAATTTAACATGCCGGCACCTGTTACCAAGGCATAAAGCACATGTTTGCTAATCACCCCTAATCTAATGCTGCATCGTTTACATAATAAATACTGATTAAGACTATCAGATGCTCAGTAGGGTAGTATGGAATGGATGAGTGACAACTGCAAAGTTGTTCAGGATATGATGTACAGTAGAACCCCATCTAGCAGAAGCAGTTTGCAGATGCAGAATTCTGGCAAAGCAATGGGACTGCTGGCCTCTGATGGCCAAGCAGATGCAACAAATAAAATAAGCATAAACCTGTCTTTGGACAGTTCCTATTTGTTTTATTCACAAAAGAGAAAATGAAAGAGGCAACTGAATAAATGTACATAGAGAAAATATTTTAAAAATCTTAGTGGAAATAAAGACGATGAGAATAGATGGAACAAAACTAAAGCAAGAAGAAAATCTGTGGATGAGATAGGAGAGGGTTGTCTGAATAAGCAAAAAGGCTGTGCTACACATACCTGATTTTATGAGACTTCATAGGCAACAAAAGTTTTAAAAAGACTTCGATGAATAAGTTGTGCAGAGCTTAGCTATTTCTTGCTAAGTGTTAGTATGGGATTCCCAATGACAACCAAAAATGAAGCAAATTAAATTAAAAAAAACTGACACCTGATACCAGCATACATTTACTTGTGAGTTATTCAAGCACAACTTTGCGGTTTAATAGCATCTTAATCTTCACAGCAGCCCTGCAATGTGGTCAAAGTGGTCCAGTTCTCATTGTGCAGGAGAAATGGCCTTAGAAGAACTAAGCAATTAGTCTAGTCACAAGGAAGCCGTCAAAGACAGTGCTTTGATCTCCTGATTACCACCCCAGCATCATGACATACCTGTAAAATGTGGCTTGGTTGTTGTGGAAAATTACAAAAACTGAATGCAAAAGTAATATGCAAACTTGTTTGGTTAAGTCCAGTTTCACGGAAATCAGGAAAATCCACTGTGTTTAAGAGTCAAGTCACTCTGGAAACAAATTTGAATATGTCAGGTTTTCTATTGGGTTTGTAGGCTTGGACAGAAAATCTCTTTTCCTTTTATATTTTCCTAATCCTCTTCTTGCAGCGCTGGTTGAAAACAGGGGAGGACCCCATGAGGCTATCAGTGGAGTGGGAGCCGTAACTGCTGTCGGAGTCATCCGGGCTGTGGGGGATTCCAGCTTCACTCATGCCTGACATGGGCTCCTCGAAGACATCGCTGCCCAGCACCCCGTGCCCAGAGACGGTGCCTTCCTCACTCTCCTGAGGCTCCATTTTCACGTGGGCCAGATTCCAAAGCGGGGAAGCATTTACCTCTGCACCTAAAAATGGAAGAACATGTAATTACAGGCAGTCCTCGTGTTACGTTGCCATCTCCCATTTATATAAAAAAAAAGAAAGTTTTGTCATTTTGATGTATGTTCATACATGCTTTATGTTTTTTATTATTTATCAAAAGTAAAGTCAGGAATTGTTATCAATTTTTTTTACTGTTTCATTTAATTGCTGCTGTGTGTATGCTCCATGTGAGTGATGTAGGTGGGTTCTGACTTACAGTGAAAATCGCTTTACATTGCGCTGTAGGAACAGATCTCCAACATAACCCGAGGACCTACTGTACTGGTAAACCAAGGCTGGAGCAAAGTAGAATGAATATCCTATCCAGGGCAGACTGATGGCCTTTGAGCTCAGCTTACATTTTGACTACTTGGCTGGAGAATACAGTTATAGTTCTCTTTCCACTTTCTCCTCCTCCCCCTTTACTCTCCCTCACCCACCCCCTTTTTTCTGAACCAGGGAGGTAAATCTGCGTGCATGTGGGAAGATTCCCTGTCTCATGGCCCAAAGGCAGGCACAACCACAGGCTCTTGTTCAGTATGTTTGCTTGTCCTTCCTTCCTTCAATGGGACTGCCTTGTTTTCCTACCTTTTGTTTGCGTCCCTGGTCCTATCTCATCATGAAAAGTTAGTGATCACTCCAAAATGCTAGCAGTTCATGGACTGCTGAAAAGAGACATGGCCCCTAAGTCTGCAACAAGGCCCTCTGTGTGTCCTAGCAATACTGTTCGGTGGTTATTCCTCCATGGTGAAAGGCTCTGCCCAACGTTTGTAAGAAATGTGGCCTAATTCTGTTCATGCCACACTGGAGGATTTGCTGCTTGCTTCATTTGAGCACTGATGAAATGACAATTTATATTTGTAAAGAACCAAGTGTCTAGACTAACTGCAATCTAACTGACTTAAGGATCAAGTCATCCTGGTTTGTAGGTCATCTCAGATTCTATCTGCAAGAAGGGGCCAGCTGCCTGTGCAGCCCCTTGCAAGCGCTTTTAGTGTTACTCTAGCAAGGAAGCCCAGCCATTCAAATATTCTTGAGCAATTAACACTCCTCATGTATCTGGAAGTTAATTGAGTACAAGCACCAGGAAGGACCAACACAGATACTAAGGGAGGGAGGGGACATCTGACTACCTAGCTGGGCCAGCTGAATTAACTTGTAATCAGTAGAACAACATATATTACATCCATATCCTAACTGGGAATTATTTAAAAAATGCTGTCCTCTAATTATAAAGAGAAGAATGTTGGTATCACTAGATCAGTGAAGCTGTACTTGTCTTTAGACTTTTCATTCTCCTGGCCTCTCCCGCTTTTGTTCTCCAGAGTATAATTCCATAAGGTAAATAGCAGAGATTGCTGGGTATCCCAGAATCAAGTGTAAGTGGATTTCTCTTACTTGAAGCCTGCGGTGAAGCCTCCACCTCCAGGTTGGATGGGAAGCGCTCACTCTGAGCCCCGAGGACTCCCATGGGCAGGGCCTGGTCTCCAGAAGCCAAGTCAGCCTCCAGTTCCTCAGTGATGGGGAAGGTGATGTCACTCACAGGCTCCTCCTTGATCTTCACAGGTTTCGTGTCCTCTGTGGCCTTCTCAGGGTTGACAATCCTTTCATACTCTTCAGTAAGTTGCTTACTAATCTGTTGGCAAGTAAGAGACAATTTTCCAAGGAATTGTTAGGAACAAGTTAGATAGTATGGGAAAGCCAAGAGAATATTCCTGCCAATGGAAGGAATCTGCTTAAGAGGTTGAGTTTGCATTTGTAAACGATAGACATGTAAGGAAAATTTTAAAGAAGCTGTCTAACAAAAGCAGCTTCTTAAAAGTGTGTGTGTCATTAAGTTACATAAAGGTGAAGAATATAGATCAGAAATGGGACAAAAAATCACACTTTTGGATATAAAAGTAACAGTTAACATATGTACCCCAGGTGGGTAATGAATAGTATAGAGACTCTGGATCACCTAGCAGAGACTTTTTGTTGGGTGTTAAAAATCCCTTATGATATTTTAGATTTGGGGAAACCCACACAGGGGTCAGATTGCTTGCATAAGGCCACAGCGATTAAGAGAGGAGATATTTCTGGGTCTAATCCAAAATGGCGTCTCTCCCTGCCTTCCCACCCGTGGGCAGTATCACTTCACTCTGTTTGTCTGACCAGGCCATTGATGAGGCCAGTGAATTTCATCTAGGGCCATGAGGAAAGTAGGTTATGTCCTCTGTTCAAAGATCCTGTGCTCTGCATTCTACCGCAATTGTGGGATCCCGCTGAACACCCTACACTGCGTTCTCCACAGCGTCACCTCACCTGCAGCATGTAGCTGTGATAGTCCTTGATGCGGTGCTGCCAGAATTTCTGGAGGGAGAGCACGCTGCCGATGCCCACTTCATGGAACACCTGCTCCATGACGTCAGGAAAAGGGGTCTGCCCCAGTCGGGCCTCCCGATCCACAGCAAAGCGTAGCAACTTGGTGAACTTGAGGCAATACTCATGTGCCACATCAGTTAGGGTCTCCAGGACACTTTCATTCGCACACTCAAAGCCGGCATGGGCCAGGATGGTGGCCACTGCCTGGTAGAGGAGCTGCCGGCAGGAGTGCCAGCTGAGTTCAGTCACAGGTTCCCCTTTCCCACTGAAAGCAGACACAGGGGAGGAGTGTTACTGGTGCTCCTGCAAAAGGGTGACCTGGCCTGTCTCCCTAGACATTTTACAATTCTGATCAAACCACTGGCCCAGCTTTCCAGAACATTCTATGCAGTGACATAGCCCAGTCTTCTTTACTGCTTGATGGGGCATGGCTAAGCAACCCATAGTCTTATCCCTGAGCTCCTCCAATTACAGAAAGCTTGCATAGGCAATTCATGCCTATAAGAAAGTGTAAAAGGGTGTCTAGTAAAAAGCAAGTTTCCTTCTTATACCAATGGCTCCATTTTGATTACTGTTAGGATCTGAC